GTCAAAGTCATGGGCCGGACCATCTAAAAGTGTCTGATCGCCGGGCTGTGACACAGCAAGTTGGGGGTGGGGGGGCTAGACTGAAGAGAACTGAAATTGAACACATCTTAATTAAAGCCCACAGACAGCAAAACAAAATGTTTTCTAGGCAGCCTGTCAAATGGGGCTTAAATTTAGCTCTGCTAATGAATCTGAGCTGCTAACTGTTATTTCTTAAGATAATAAGACTCTCACGGAAGCTGATAAAAAAACTGTAGCATGTCTTTTTCTGCTGTTTTGTTACTTAAATATTTTCCAACAAAGAAGACAGTTTTCCTAAAGAAAAACATGGGCAAAGCCTATGCAAATAAAGGGGTAGTAAACATGTCTCTTAAAACTCCTAGCTTTCCAGACTAAGGGGTTGGTGAGTTGAAAGCCTTTATGTGTCGCCTTGTTATAGAAAAAGATATGCTCATGTAATGGGACCATTTCAATGACAGATTATGTTAATTGTAAAATTCTTTCCCTCTCTTCCTTTTCTCTCTCTTTCCCTCTATTGTTTCCTGAAAGAGATTGTGCATTAATTTGAGAGATCAATTCACCTGGGGTGGAGAAGTTTTATATTAGTGTACCTCTAATAGAGTGAAAAGGTAGGGCATCTTTTGAAAGGGTTTCACAGTTCTCCTATATCACTGTTTCTGAAACTGAGTGGCCGGTCTCCCCTGGGAGGCTGCGACCTCTTCCTGGGGAGCTCAAAAAAACAACCCAGGGGAAAATGAAGGGGAGGGGCTGAGGAGAGGAACCCTTTCTCTTTCTTCTTTTAGAACTTGAAAGAACCAATAGGCCAGGTCTAAATACTCTGTGAAGAAAGCCTCTCTCAATATAGAAGACTTTAAATGTTCTGTTGAAAGCAGAAATTAGGCCTTGTCCAAGGAAAAGCATAATTAAAAGCTAAAAAAGACAAATTCCAACATGAACGCTTTCCCACCACCAAAGAGAAAAAAAATTCCCCTTCATTGGCCTTTCTCTCCTCACAATCTGACCAGTTTTAAGGAACACTCGATTTAGCAGTAGGGAGAATCTCCCCCAGTGAACGCAGGGCCAGTCAGTATCTAGGATTTGCTTTGATGGTGCAGAGAGACATTAACCTTTTCACTGGTTAGTTGAAAGGTAAGTAAGTTGTATTGAGCAGTATTTTTCAGTTCATCAAACTTTTTCTGTCAGGAAGAATTTAGCCGACTAACTTTTAAAACCAGAGTGCTACTTTCTCAGGCTGTGAAAGGCTGCCCACAATTTGACTGAAATTTCAATCCACTCTTGTGCCTCGCTCAATGCATGTGTATGTGTGGGAGTTGTAAATTGAGGCCTTAACCACCAGAGTTAATCTCTTTTTTAAATCTGTATTAACCTTAATGATTTGAAGTGCACTGTCCAACACTGGGCTATTGAGACTGAAGAAAAAACTACCCTCGACTATCAACAGTTTATTAGGGGCTTAACTGAAGTGACCTACTGTAGCAGTGTTCAGCTGAACAAGGCTATAGGCTTTTTGTGGAAAGGGAAAGAATTGAGGGTTTCATTAAAAAGTAATTTGTGCTTTACACTCGCTCATTCAAAGAGTCTCAATTGCTCTTTATTCACACAGAGTTAATACAGTATCACAATGTTTCTCAATGAATGTGTTGTAACAAAAGAAAAATTTTACATTTTGAAAGGAAAAAATTCTTTGTAACTGCAGTAAGATTGATGGCTACTTAAAAGATTACAGAATCTTCCTTTCCTGTGCTCATCTCAATGATGGAATACTATCGTTTAAAAATTTTTGCTTAAACTATGGTGCTTTAATCTTATGTTTTTGGATCATTGAATGTATTTTAAAAGTAGAGCAAATTTGGTTAAATATGACTTTGTCTTGATAGACTTGTCTAACATCTTAGAGTAATAGTCTTGTTTATACTAGGTCAGAAAATACTCTAATTCTTACTTAGCAGAGCGTTATCAGTGATTAAAATCTCCCTCTTCCATCCACAACACTCCTAAGTGGATGCTAATTTGAGGATCTGAAGACAGCACTATTTACTCAATTCCCATTTTTCAAACTGTTGTTTAATAGCTTGTAGAGCCTGGCTATGATTATCCACTGAGAGGTACAACATATTTTTAAAAGTTCATCTTTGAACAAGAGATAAAGTATATACAAGTTATTTAGCCTTTCCAGAATTAAAGACTATTTTAAAAATTTGTAGTATATTCAGATATTTCTGACTTAAATATATGGTCCTCAGTTTCTGCCACAATCACAAATGTCATGAAGACCACAAGAAGTTCAAGAGTGAGCAAGGTCAAAGACTGAATTATCCTCTTGCCCCTGAATAGTTCAACATCTCCCTTGTTCAATTCAGAGCACATTAGATTATAAGGTCAGTGTGCAATGAGGAATCATTAGATTTATATCCCTAAAACTAGAGGGGAAAATGGAGAATCTGTTATTTAGTATTCTGTAAATTAAAGTTCATTTTACTCAAGTCAAAATTATGTCTCATTGACTCCCTATGGAAAAGGCTATTGTTATTCACATTAATTTACATAGAACCATTAGGAAAGAAATAAATCTATTTTTTCCAATTTTGAAAGTCTATGTACTTTAACTTCCACTGTGGCACAGTGGCCAACTGGGCAATCACCATTTGCATATTCATGAAGTTGTAAAAGCAATGACAGCTTCTCACCAAGATAGACAAACTTACATAATTGCATGCAACTTGTGTAATGGCAGGTATCCAAGCTTATGAAATAAATGGGACTTAAAATATTTCCATAAGAAATTACTGTGGCCCACTATAAATACCCCGTGATGTGTCTTAGCACCTGCTGCTCCTCTAAGATACTGATTATTTTAGGCTTTTCTTCCAGTTTTCACGTGTTTACTGCTCAGCACTCCTATACAGAAAATCGTGAAGAAAAGGAAAGGTGTCTCCCATGATGGTGAATGTCACTGCCATGAACTTCTGAATTTACCGCTGCTGGGAGTCAGAGGCCAGGCATAAACTCTGCACTGTAAAAGCAATTCTGGCTTCCTATTCCAGCCTTTAAGTCAGTGTCCAAAATAAATATAAAAAGAACAGTAGTCAGTCATTCATTGTTGACTGCTGGTTCTAACAATATAGGCAGCATGATAATAAAAAAAGATTGTGCCCAAATTAATTTGATTATGATCATACCAGAAATAAAAAAGAAAATGAATGAATGTAACAGGACCCAGCCCAGCATGTAAGGGAAAATATTATTATACTCTTTCCTACTATTTTCAGGTATGCCTATTTTGAAAGAATGTTTGACAGTTTTTAGTATCTTCTTGGTTACAATGAGTTGGTAATTACCTCTTTAAATAACTGTAAACTCTCAACATTTTTATTTTTATCACACAATAGTCACTTGATGTTATGCAAATATTAACAATTTTTAAAACATTGTCATTTTGGAACGAACATCTGCTATTTTAGTTTTAAGGAATGTCATCTTTTAATTTGGTTTTGATTCTGTTCAATGAATTAAAGAAGTGCACAGGGAACAAGCTTTCACATAGTAGGAAAAGTACATTTTTCTTCTTCAAATAAATCAGCTACCTTGTTAAGGTTAATTTTCTCAACATTTGCAATGGTAAATATATTTCACAAATAAGTATATAGTTGCAGGAGTAGTAAAACTTGTACAAAATTGGTCAGTCCTATTTATCAGCCATCTTTATTTATTTATTTTTAAAGATTTATTTATTTATGCATACAAGAGCTGGGGTTGCAGGCCAGAAGAGTGGTGGTGTGTGTGAGAGGATTCACCAGAGACAGAGTGGGGAACGAACAGGCAGATTGACTGAAATACACTGCTGAGGGGGCAGTGCGTGAGACAGGAGAGGACTGCTGCACCATGTGGGTCACCTCTCTGGCCGGGGTTAGAACTCGTGCCTCAGTGGCTGTTGATAGCTTCATAGTGCTGATGCTTAACCCTTGTGACACCAGTGAGGCCCCTATCACACATCTTTAGATGGACAATTTAAGGAATGATACAAAGCTCCCTCCCAATTTTTATGAAATTAAACAACAAATGAATAGTCATATAGCTGCAGTTCAAAACAATGATTTAATTCTGGAAATAGATAAAATAATTCCATCATCCAATTAATTAATATGTCATAGAAGCAATATCCAAATCAGGAAGTGTTAAGAGGCAGACTAATTTTGGTATTTCTATTGCTGTGTTAAAAAAGCTTAGAAGATGCTAGATGCTTCATGTGAATCCAGATTATATCTGGGGTGTGCTAAATAATTTGGACAAATAAGGAATTTAAAGAGCAGCATAAATACCAAGGGTTCATACCAAGTAATTGAATATTTTTCATTAGAACTTTTCAGTGAACTATGCAAGAGATTTCATGTATATTTGAATTATAGGTATTGGCCTGTTGGACATTACCTTAGTGAAGCCAATACTGTCTGGGGGAAGATGAGAGAGTATTACCCCAAACTGATGAAATCAGGAAGAAGTATTCCCACTAGGTTGATTGAATATTAGAGAAGGCAACAATTCAAAAGTTATTTTGTCTTTTATTGGTTATTTTTAATATTTACCCTCCATTTGTAAAAAGTAGAGTGTAAAAGTCAGGTGGTTGGTAAATCTTAGTACCATCAAACATGATCTGAATTCTTTTGGAAACAGTCTTAGGTCTCTTAACTTGGAAAATTAGATATTAATCTACTCTATCACTATCAAATATCTGAATAAAGTGATGATATCTCCAAAAAATAAAATGAAATCTTACATTTACTTTGATGATTGATTCAGGTGAAATGAGAATTCAAACATTGACTAGTGTTGCATGCACCTCAGTATATATATACATTCATACATATATATACACACACATACATATATATATACACACACATATAATATATATATATATATATATATACATATATATATACACACATACATGCAACTGGAAGAATTGCATCATTTCTCACCTGTAACATCAGCAGCCATTAACCCTTCTGCTCTGATTACTTTCACCTGGAGGAATCCCACATCTTTTAGGTTGTGAAATATCCGCAAAGGACCCTGAAAGAAAGGAAAGGTTTGAAAGAATCTTAAAGAAAACACTGAGAAAACATTAAATTTTATGGTTGATCTCAGGGTGCTGCTTAAGTGATTCAAAGAGATATTTATGTTTTTTCTACATAGATTACCCTTCTATCATAATGATGCACATTTACACACATAAACATGCATGCATTCACATACACACATGTATATATTTATGTAGATAATTGTTGCTATATAAATATCTAGCTTTTTAAGGTTTTTTTAATTGAGTTAATTTGTGTATGATATTTTGTGTATGATATTGTGTATGATATTTTGAAAGAATAAAAATACCACATTTCTTCCTCATAAAAAGCTATAAGAAGATTGTGAAATATAAATTATAAAGTAGGAAATGTTTGTTCCTTCTTTAATTTTCATTACCTAGCACTCCAAGAAATCTTTCATCTGTGGGTATGATGGTTGGAGGCTTGTGAGCCTTAATATTGATGCTTAGTTGTAAGTTATGTAACACTCCTTAGATTTTGGGAATAAGAATGTCAACATTAAATTAATTATTTTCCTACTATATATACTTCTTGGTGAGTTTGTAAACTATACATGTGAGATGAGGATTAAATTTTTGAAATATTATTTTCTAATATTAATTCAAAAGATATATAGTTCTATAAACCTTTTAGGTAAAAGATCTAAAAGAAGATAATGTATTATCTTCTAACATCAATCAAAATGATTGCTAAAAATAAACTCAAAAATGATAAGAAATTTTTCTTAGCTTCTAACTTTGTCATTCTAGTCTACACAGATATAGAAGTATAGAAGTTTTGTTAGAAGAGTACAATCAAAATGAGAAAACCTAATCTTGTTAATAATAGTAATGTGTTAACAAGCATAGTATAATTAAAAGAAGGATACAAATATAATTAGTCAGCATTCTAATTAATGGGCAGAAATACTTAGGAAAACAAACTTATAAAATAAGCAACTGTTTATTTGTAATTCATAAATTTTTCTTCTGAAAGACCAGTATTTCTCCTCAGTAAATTAAATGTTCTGCTTTACTATAAACTTTAAAATGCTGAAGACCAAGGAGCATATGATACTTTTGCCTAATAAAGTTTTCTATTAAAATGTTGCTAGAGAACATTCCCATCCTTGTATGAAGAATGTGAGAATACTGACAAGCCAAAGCTTACTGTGGTATTATCTTTATCAGTCCCATATGCCTAGTCATTGTTTACACTGGAGCTATGACCTTGGCATACTGAGAGGAAGAAATGCAGAAATGTGTGTAATCTCATAGCCTAACTTTTAAAAAGCAGTGTTTAGCACAAGGATTAGCTCTTAATCTTTTATTGTTTTTAAACAGTTGTTTATCATCAAAAATCTATTCAAACTACCCCTTGACAGGGTTCAGTAAAAGTGCACTTCTCTCTCCATTTAGAGGCCTATAAATTAAGAGTTGAACAGGGTACACTTTAGACAGCAGTTTGTAACACAGAGGTTTGTAGACATGCTGCCTTTCTAATGTAATAATGATCTTATCTTACCCAGTGCTATAAACTAAGTTCAGTCTCCTAACCTAATGAAGAAGAAGAGTTTTATTGATTTTAATTTTCAGGAGCAATTTATACCAAGTTGCATCGTGACTAGAACAAATGCCACCCAGTCTGAGTCGTCCCCTACCAGTCACCTCCTGGTGCAGACACACCGTTTCTGGACCTTCGGCTCCTGTGTTTGCCTTCCCATCTGGAGGGGGCAATTATTGTTTGCAGGTTTCCTCTCCTCTAGTCAGCTGACATTCAGTAATTTATTGCAAATTTTAACTGTTTAGACTGGTGATAACATCGATTATAATAAGAACTCCAAAAAAAAAAAAAAGGCAAAAGACTTAAATATATCGGTTTAAAAATATAACTGCTTCATCAAGAGATATTCCTGCCTTGTTATTTATGGTTATTTTAGAAGGCCTCAAAACCTGGATGGCTTCTGAAGCCAGAAATTTCCATAGCAGAGGAATCTATGATTTGCTGTGAATCCTTTCAGCCCTCAATAGATGGGAAAAGATTGAAATGCTCTGGAGAGGAGTCCTCTTTATTTTTTTAATGAAAGGCTGTATAATATATTTTCTCTATGGCTGCAGCAGCTGTCAGGGAGAGCATCTCAGTTCAGCTCTATTACGGGAGAGGCAATACCCCATCCTATGGCATCGAGATGCTCTGAGGGGCCAGAGCTGATTGACAGCTTGTCACCGTGACGTCTTATTCCATCTCTGTTATGGAGAAAATTAATGTCACACCACCAGCCTTATGACTCGCTGTCATCTTAGAACCGCTCACCTTTTATCAATGCTCTAAATAACATTTCAAGCCCATCGTCTCACGGTGGACAATCCGGTCAAGGGACATTAAATCAGATGACTGTGAAATGTCATAATAAAAATGGAATGCTAACAACTTCTTCTCTAAACTAGCTTCTCTGGTTTTTAAACTGTGACAAGGGGGAGCAAGGGTTCAGCATACCCGTTCTGAAAAGGTCACACAATCGCTCTTGGTCTACTACCCATTACTACCCGCCCCTATTGACCTTCCTTGCTTTCCTGCCCCCAAAAGAGGAAAGAAAAAAAGAAAAAATGGAATTAGCCATCTTTTCAAAATGTGGTGATCAAATAATGGTTCACACAGTAATGTCTGTTTAATTTGTGGGGCTTCAATGCTCAATAATGAACAGCTGAATGACAGCAATGCAGAGCATTTTCAGGCTTGTTTCATATGAAAGTGGGGCAATTCGTTTACTTTTCTTACCACGTCAGTGGCAATTCAAATTCTTAAGTTTAACCTAAACTCTAAAAAATATACATGCTCTTATAAGGAAATACAATTCTCTAAATAACATCCTTTATGTGTTTCTCGAGGCAAGTGATATTTCAGGCATGAGAGAGCATTCATTCATTTCATAATCTGTATAATAAAAAGGAAACACAAATGTCTAAAATACACGTCTTTGTCCTTGTATTGTTATAAGTAATTATAACACATGTGCTATATTGCATACAGTAGCTGCTTAGCATATGTCCCGAGAGGAGATGCAGAACTGTGCTGGAAAGTCAGCACTTAAAAAGAAATTATATTAAAGCATGGTTCACTTTTTAATATATTGGGCACAATATAATCTGAGAATTAAGTGAGGCATCTACATACTATTTTACATTTCATTGAAATAACTAACATTTGAAAGAAGGTCCTGGAAGCAAATATTCAAATCCTGAGTAAAAAAGGCTGATTTAAGGAATCCCATCCAGCAAAAGAAAAAAGAGAATCAATAAGAGTTGGATTATTTCTAATTACCTACCCTGCAGTATCATTCTAATATATGGGATCATGTCAAAATATTAATCCATCAAATACAGTATCATAATACCTAGAATAATTTTTATATTACAATGCCAATTAATTCCTTTAAAATTGTTTTAATTTGTGAGATTCACTTCTGGTAAGGGGAGAGTAAGTTTGGTGGGCACCAAATTGTGAAATAATTTTCATAACTGCAATTATATAGTAGAAGATGCCACTGAACACCTTAGGCTCTAGGTAGTTTAAAAATATATACTATTTAGCCTTGCTAAGTCACCTCTATTAAACTGTTTATGATAACACCATTGGTGGATGAGTTGTACAAGCATTAGCAGACAGCTGATTCAGTGGAGATAGCCAGAATAAATTTGCTGAAGCGCACATCCTGCTAATCTGTTTGAAGAATATTGTAGAGCATTAGTACCAGCACTTCATGTTATCTGCACAGCCTGATAAGGTACATCTTTATTAAATTCAGTTATTGAAAGGATGTCAGTCAGCAAATAGGAATATTTTAAAATCTTAAAAAAAAAATTAAGCGGTTCTTTGTTAGTCAGAGCTTGGTTTCATGGCTGAGTGTCTAGAGGAGCCTTCTAAACACCTGGCAGCATTGTACAATACGATCTTTGTAATTTTAAGTGGAAAAGCTTTTTTTCCCTCCAGTTTCATGGGCACTGAGGCATTTACTTTTTCTGAGCTGCCACTGAGAGAGAATGGTGGAGTAAGAGCTCCCCTCTCTGTTAATTCAAGAAAACTGCATGGTGAGCAGTGAATAGTATGAGGATGCTGGAAACAGGTAGATTTGGTTGTGAATTTTTTTGGTTTGGTAAAATTTGAAACGGGTAGTTATTTCAGTGATTCATCATTCCACCCTATCACTGTACACTTGATTGCAAGGTTAGGAGACTTTCTTTTAATCATATTTCTTATTCAATTGAAAAACATTACGGGAGTGAAATAAGATTTTTCTAAGCAATTGGAATTTAAAAATTATTGCTCTGAATACTCTAGTTACCAAGCTACTAATTAACGTAAGTACCATTAACTCCTTTCCAAATTTGGAAGATAAACTTCACACTGCAGTTACAATGAATCAATGAATAAATTTTAAAGTTATGTCCTATAAACTTGACTTTCCTTTCTGGGGAGTTTCCTTGCATGATCATTTGCTGCATGACAAATCAAGAATAGACCCTCAGAATCTGTAATTTGCTGTGAAAGACTAGACAAGATCCACTTTCTAGACATCAGGAGTAATACAGTTGCTTCTGCAAAGGTGTGTGGCATTTGCATCTGCCCAGTTTTCTGCTTCTGCTGAGTCATCTATCAGACAGATTTTCAGAAATGATTCTGTCATTCCAGGTAAATTATTGTAATCTCAACTAGTCACATATGACTCTGAAAGAGGAAGGCTACATACGTACATATCTCTTTAATATCTCCTCCCGTTCTTTCTGATCTTCCAGGGAGTTGACAGAGAGGTCAGAGATACTGACTGTGGCCGAAGCTGTCAGAGTGACCAGCAGCACCAGGTGCCCCTCTCCCTCTTCCAGCTGCAGCTCCAACTTGTGTGTCTGTTCCCTGCTGAGGACGGACAGGTCAACCTGACACCTACAAATAAATGTTTTCAATTAGCAAGTGGCCTTTTTGTTTGTTTGTTTGGGACCACATATAACAGTGAAAGTGCAGGCTTCTAAGAACTATCTGAAAAATGAATCAATACAAATATTATTTGGACCACTGGAAAAATATGCCTTTCATGTCAGCTGACTTTACAAATTCAGATGATGATTATCTTAATGTTTAGTTATTTATTTCCTGTCAAATAAAAAATGTGATATCATATTTGATTACCACCCATTGTCGCCACATCAAAAATTGATATGGACTTCCCATCCCTCAATGGTCTAAGCCAGTGGCCTATGCTTACAGAAATACAAATCTGAATAGTTTTCAGGGACAAACTATAGAGCCCCTAAAATTTTGGGTTACTTTTATTATTTATTTATTTATTAAATATATATTTTTACATCGTTCTTCATTTTTGTACAATGCATGCTTTCTCATCTTGGTTATAGTCCCGTGAAATTCCTATCACCCATTCACCCCAGGAACCATCACCATAGTCCCTTGTGCTCTTCCCACCCCTGTTTTGATCCAACTCCCTTCTCCTCCCCTGCAGAATGTCTCTGGTTTATAGTTGCTTGTTGATTTTTCACTTTATTATAATTACATTTTTTCCCCCAACCCCTTATTTGGATCCTCTACAGTCCTCTTATAAGTGAACACATCCAGTATTTTTCTTTTCTTTCTGGCTTATTTCACTGAGCATGATAATTTTGGGGTCACTTTTAAAACAAGAAAATTTTCCCCTTACTTGTAAATGTTATTAAGTAGCAAATGGAAATATGTACTATGGTGATGCTATAAGTTTTACATTTTTAAAATGATTCCTATTTATTCATAGAACACTACATACATCCTAAATAAAGAACAGATTCCCTAAAAACACTGTCATTCCTGTGTTATATACCAGAATGTGCCTTGCAGGGGGTCTACTGCATGGCATTTCATGATCTGGATGCCACTCTCTGAGCCAACCACTTTGCAAACTCTTCATAAAAATGTCAACTGATTTGGAAGAGAAACATAATGTGGTGACCACAAGGCCCGTAAACTGAAAGGAAAGAGGCAGACATGAATAAAAAGCATTTAAAACAGAAAATAGCCAATTACAAGAATAAATGGGATAACATATCATAAGCAGGGTGGTTAGCCAGTAAAAAAAAAAAAAAAAAAAAAAAAGATTAAATTTTTGCTCCTTTTTATTCTTCACTCTATTTCTTATTCATTGTTTTTGCTTTTTAATTAAACTCCTATGAAAAGGGCCTCAAAACTAATAGTTGGGTCCCAACATCTCTTTAGTGTGAGCAATTATAGAAACACAGCATCTTGTGACATTCACCTTTTATTTTTGCCTATTAAAATAACATAAGAAATAGCCGGGGCTAGAGACAATAAAACACAGTTGATAGATACACAATAAAACAATTGATAGATGTACAAAATGAAAGGAAAGATACATGCTGGTCAGTGACAGAAAATCTCTGTGTGCTAAATACTGACTATTGAGAGAGCAGGAAATTAGAATCTGTCCCAAGTCTGCCAAACATCTTCCTGTAGTTAGAATGTGTGTCAAAGACCCTCGTTGTTTCTGCAAATACAACATCCACTACTATTAAGCTGCTTCCTTAAAGTCTAAAGGATCGAAAAAAAATGTCAAATGCCTCATTTAATATTCTAATTGGAATTAAGTTCTTGTCAATAATACCTGGAAAAAATTGAGAGTTAAAAGACGCAATAGTGAAAAATAACCAATCAGATATATTGTTGAATCAAAAAAAAAAGAACATGAATATGATTTCCCACAGATCTCTTGGCATCAGCACAGTGTCCAGGCTGCAGTTTGGTGAATTTGAACGAATCTTTGACTTGGATTGGGAATACCCAACTAGAGAACTGAACAGGGATTATAACTCAATGGTACATTGTTTAGATAAAGTTGGGACAAATGATATTCTTTCACTGAATTAGATCATGCATTTCCCTATCTAGTCCTTTATGTATGCTCTTATATGATATTTCATCATTCTTAAAACAATAAAACACATAAAAGCCTTTTAGAGGATTTTCTTCCATGCTTATTACTACTCAGCACTGGTCATCTAGATGCTAGCCTATTCCTCATTTATACAGGCATAGCATTTACTGACTGTGCTTTAAAGAGTACCTGGTTCATGAACTGCAAATTGGCAACTTTCACATTGAATCTGGTTCATGGATTTGTTGTCTGGTTTGTAGTGTTAAGTTTTGAATTTAAATAATTTTAAAAACTGAGCAAATATACTCTGACTTAGTTACTACCCTCAATACTATTATTTATAACTCACTATTTCATTCAATTCTGTACCTTGTTCCAATAACCATAAGGGTTTGCAATTCTTGCAATCTGCTTAATTTGGCTATTGAGAAAACTGAGGGTCAAAGAAGGAACATGACTTAATAGAGATATCAGTTAGCTATTAGCAGAGTCAAGATCTGAACTTGGGATTACAGAAGCCAAGATCTAGGTTTTTCTTACACCAGTCTGCTATTCAATAATTGTGCACCACAGGAGGAAGTGTGTGCAGCTGGTACTGATTCTCCTAGTGGGTAATATCTAGACTCACTCTCTCAGAAAAATTTAAAAGTATGAAATTGTTACTTTTATACTTCTTAAATATATTTATATATCTATTTGGGAAAAGGATATAAACTATTGTTCTTAAAAGATGATAAACTAGAAAAAATTATAAATTGAATTTTAAAAATAATGAAACAGAATTTAAATTTACATTATAAATACATAAAGAGGGTTATGGTTTTCTGGTGCAACTAACTTTTCAATACTGGTTGCACTTGTAGAATAGTCCCAGGTCCTGTCCTGTATTTAGTGTTTCATAATTTTGACTTTAATATTTCTACTATAGAAAATGTCTATTTTACAATGTTGTAAACCAGTGTTACTTTAATGATTTTTTTAAAAAATCCTATTTATATAAATATATAGAACAGAAGAATATTATTGACTTCAAGTTTCCTTTTTCTAGTTGAGGTTATTCAGATCTTCTCTTCATCTAAAAACTCCTTGCTTGATAACTAAGAAAAAATTGTCTTGCTAACTTAAGGATAAAGTAAGTATTGCAGCAACACTAATTTCCATATTAAGTGTGTATCAGAGCAAATTAATGCTGGAATTTGGTGGATAAATGGTCTCTGCTACCCTTTGCTGTTTTAGAATATGTACCAAGATGGTATTCTGGAGATAGAGGCTAATGCAAAGTGAATTCAGTATTAATTGAAGTGGACCAATGTTATGGTTTGTTTGTGTGCCCTCAAATTTAATCCCAATATGATGGGATTAAGAAATGGGGACTCTGGGGTGTTTAGGTTATAAGGGGGAGCCCTCATGATTGGGATTAGTACTTTTATAAAAGACGCCCGAGAGATCCCTTTCTCCTTCCAAAGTGTGAGGACTCAGAGATGATAGCTTCCTATGAGTAGGATAAGAGCCCTTACCACACCCCAAATCTGCAGTTACCCTGACTTCCCTGAAGTTATTTCGGACTTCCCAACCTCCAGAACTGAGAGAAGTATCTTTGGTTTATAAGCTACCCAGGAGCACTTGGTATTCTGTTATAACAACCAAATGGACTGGAAGTTTCACCTGTGTTTGGCTCACCTGGACTATTTCCTAAACAAAGGAAGGATTCACTATAGTTAGACTATAGAAGGACAAGGCTTTTTTTGGTTGAGTATTGTTTGTTGCTTTGTTTTGTTTCTTTGAGTTCCTATTTGAGTGAAATCATCCAGTAAAATATCACCTTACATAGCTCTCTAGTCTTCCCTACCTCATGTTCTTACCCTCTCACGCTCATGCCGGAGTGATACTCCAAATAAAGTATCAGTTTAGTCATTGCTTCAAGCTCCATTTCCTAAGAAATTTGGGCTAAATGCATCCTCCTTAGTCATAGATGGCTAAACACAAATCTGACCATGTGACCCCCTGTCTGTCCAACACCTGTGAAATATACTTAGCAAAGCAATGATGCCCCTCATGACCTGCCATCAGCTTGAGTAGCACTTGATGATTCACCTACTATTTAAGCCATTCCAAACCATTTGTAATTTTTTCACCATCTATGCCAGGGTTTACATGTTTTTGCGTTTGGCATCTGCTCTGCCTGAAATGATGTATCTCTTTATTTTTGCTTGACAAGTTTTTACTAATAATTACTGAGATAACCTGAAGTTATTTTCCCCACTCTATATCCTAAGGTGTCTTGAGAGCAGGCACCACCTCAGCACCTGGTATAGAGTTGGTGCTCTCTAAGTGTTAAAGAGGAGAGTTTGGAGAGGTAAAAAATTTACCCATGGTGGCAGTGGCAGAACCAGGACTAGTGGATAATGTTCTCATTCTACTACTTCTATGTTGTCTCCCTAGAAAGTGGTTTGATGTCTTTACAACACTTATTTCACTCACTTGCTCACTACCCACCCATCCATCCACCCACCCAGTCACCCATTAACTATTTAAGTGACTTATATGTCAGAATTCTGTTAGATTTTGTTAGATTTAAGTCTTTTCTGACATCCTTATTGCTTCTTACATTATTTTTAGAATTACCACAGATTCAGTGTGTTGTTTTGAACCAAGTTTGGTTAGTGTCAGCTGTCAGGGTTTCAGAACACCAAAGTGTTAATAAAGCTCAGTTAATCACTAGTATTGTGATGGTGAGCAAGCCATTTAAACATTTTATGTATCAGTTTTCCACCATTATCAAATGAAATAAAAAAAAAAAACATGTTGTATCTTTGCAGAGTCATAGAATCACCAGAATAATAGATGAAAAAAATTTTTAAAGTTGAAAGTGCTATATAAATATAATATATAGTTTTAGTATCACATATGCCTTAGTTTTAATATAGGAAAAATTTAAAACTTACTGTCTGTAACTGACTCATCAACTGATTAATCAAATCAACTGAATGATAAAAAAAGACTCAAAACT